AAGTGCCGATTTCTTTTTTTTGTTGTCGAATAAGATAATGATTTGATTGATTTAATTTGGTTTGGTTTGGTATTTTTTTTGGTTGTATTGAATTAAAAGTGATTCGGTCGTTAAATGCGGAACCGATTCGGCTGCTGGCGTTAAGGGAGAGTTCGTTGTCGCTCTTGACATAGAGCAGTATAGAACGGGTGGTGAGGGGCCGAGAAAAAAGAAGGAGCCCTTTAGGTTGGGGTAACACAATACCTCACACCATACGTTAAAATTACGCCGGGTTCGTTCTCTACAGGCATTAACACCCAAATAAAATCATTTCGAATTAACATCTAATATTATTGGAATTCTCAAAATTTTAGTTGCAATTTTTTTCCAACTTGCTAGTAATCCCCGGTCTTTTTTTCTTTTCTTTTTTTCAAAGAAAACTCCACCGTGGAGATAGGGAGACATAAAGCGAGAACGTTTCAAATATTCACCGGTTCAGTAAGTGGCGTACAAAACGCCAAGAACATATCCTAAACTATTCATGTGTCATGTGAGTGTGCGTTTTGACTGCACAACGAGGATGGGGATTGTTTTCATTTTTGAATAGCAAAAAGGAGCCCAAAAGAAACAATCTTTTTTTTGTGAAATCCCTTTCGTTTTGATTTGAGTTAAAATTTGTTAGTGTAATGTCGGATTGAGTTGATAGAGATGGGAAATGAGGAAGGAAGGAAGGAAGGAAAAGCAGACGCCGCCGGTCGGACCGAGGCGCATCATCTAATAGGAGCAAATCGAATTACCAATTAGTATTGCCGTCCGAATCACCGCAGATAATGAGCCATTGAGCCCTTATCGTGCGGGAAAACCGGGTTTGCTGGTGGAAATTGGAAAATGCGCAATATCCGTCGCGTTCACGAGCTTCTCTCGGTACAGTTATGAAATTTGAATGAGATATTTTCACAAAATTTACTAAATTGACTACTTGTTATTCAATTTTAACTAACTAAATAGTTGGATAATCTGAGATAACTTTTAGGCACGTTTATTTTGATGAATAGATTATGAATAGGTACTTCTTGATTTATGCCTTAGGTACCATTGAAAAGTATTTCTTATGCTCTACTTGCATAAACTCTTGCTACTAGACTACATCATAAAAGTGGATAATTTCAGATACAATTTGAGCACGAGGGATATTTTGAGCATCTCATTATGTAGTTATAAAACACCATAACAAATTGGGAAACACTTCCTGCCTTCACTTAAGATTAGTCTAAATATGCCTGCATTGGTGACTCATAACTGCACTACTACAGAATACTAGTTGGATAAAAGCATCACTAATTCTGATTAACACAATTACGCGTCGTTTATTACATAAACTTTAAATTAACATTAAATTAATTGTAGTTCTAAAAATGCCATGAATCCTTGAATTTATAATTAATCTTAAACATAAACTTTATCTCCCTAAATGTCATGTTTAGAGCCTCAATAAAATTCGAAATAAATTTGATATCAACAAATAAATTTTAACTCTAATTAAAATTCCGCTTTCCAAATTAATTTGGCATAAACACAATTCAACCTCAGTTCTTGATGTTTTCATTAAAACGGTACAAATTTTCATAAAACATTCCTCGAATCACTTTATAGATCGTAATCTATTAATTTTGGGAGAAGAATATAAAAGTATAAATGGTTTTTTAACAAAACTTATTAAACCTGGGTTTAAATTAGGGTTAAGACCAATATGATGAAGCTACCTTTTGTCTAATGTCAACTCCTGATTTTGTTGGCAATGCTATGTCAGGTAAAGTACCAAACATAGAATGATAGACATGTTGATGGTGATGAGTTGTTATGCTTTTAGATCTATGCGTCAGCAATAGTTGACCAGCATACACCCAACTATTCCGTTTTTCATCACTTATAGGGCTAAGATTTTCCAAGCACTGATCGAGATAACTCTGCAAAATAAATGGCATGTGCTATTCATTCACTATTAGGAACTTTTTATTCACAAATAAGTTTAATCTCTTTCTTTGCCATTCATTTTCTTCATAAATCCTTCGTCACGGATAAGGTGCTGCTTGAACTTCGTACAAGTACTTCCTTATTTATGTTTATCTTGATCTAAACTTGAAAGGATTATCCATGTTGGAAGATTAATGATCAAAAAGTAAAAACCATATAATTTTTCGAGCTAACGTGGAACAGACATGAAGAAAAAAAAATAGAAACCTTGTACAGCAACTTTTCTGGTGTGTAGAAAAGATCCAAATCATCTGAAACCATTCTATAAATATTGACATTATGGAATAGACCAGCTTTGACACCTCTTTTCCTTAAGGGATATATGACGTGATATATTATTTCCTACTCCCTGTTGAGTATGTTTAAAATGAAAAATTCTATCGAGCTAAACTGTTCCACATGCAGAAAAAAAAACAGAAACCTTGTACAACAACTTTTCTGTTGTGTAGGAAAGTTGGTCAATTTTTAACAACGCAAAGGATCCAAATCATCTGAAACCATTCTATAAATATTGACATTATGGAATAGACCAGCTTTGACACCTCTTTTCCTTAAGGGATATATGACGTGATATATTATTTCCTACTTCCTGTTGAATATGTTTAAAATGAAAAATTGTAGAATTTTTTTTCTTGAGCTCAATACATCAGCTAACTTGTTAAAGAATCATAACATATCCAATTCTGGTTAATACAATATTCTCAGATATTTGGTTAAATTCTAGAACTTCGTTTTCAATGTTAATAATCATAGACTTTTCCATAAGAAGAAATATTAAGAGATATATTGTCGCTTATTAAAAGATGCAGATGGAGGGAGTGACAATGTTGGATTCCTAAGCAACTTAGCATAATATCCCTTTTCCACATATTCTGAACATGACCCCAAATATAACATTGATGGAATCAAGTGGCAGGACCTTCTTACTAGTATTAAAAGTTTTAAGTAGATCTAAAAATATTGAGTTTGTTTAAATTCTTCTTCTTTGGTAAGAATTACTGATATTTAGACAATGTATACCAAATAAATCTATAAACAGAGTCTAGTACAACTGGAATTCAGAAATCTGGTTTCACTATAAATATCTACATGTTCTAATATTCTATAGGGAATTTTTCTTCAAAGCGCATATTGAATTTTAAATTACACAGTTTAATCCCAAAATTAGCAAACTTTTGGCAATATTATCATACAATATTGCACAAAGCTTTTAGAAGGAATTAAATGGTATAGAAAAGTGGCATCATCATGTCTTCTAGGTTAGCTATTAATTTCAGTTGAAAAGTTAGTGACAGAAAAAGTTATCAAATGGCAGAATTTTGGAAAGAATTTGTAGTTGCCTTCCAAAGCACCATTCCCATTCAAATTCCACTTTCATTTTTAAATAAAGAAAGATGAGGAGGTAAGAATGTAGTTTATCAATAGACATCAAAAAGTCAATTTAAATCAGGACAGTTTATTTATAGCAGTGGTCTGTTAATAGTAAGCAATTTCCTCCTCCATCCGTGGTAGTTGTAAGTTTGCAAAAATCTCTGTCTTTGTAAAGTTTTGATTTTTATTTGATGCAGAAATTTCGGTGAGATTTCGTTGCTTCCATAGCCCAGATTGATCTTTTGACTATACGTAAAATATTGATTGATGCTTTAAATCAACCACATAGAAGATATGAAGACCAATCTAATTGGAATAATAAGTTTCTTGATGTAATGCCTTAGTTTGAGGTTGAAACATAAATCAAGATCTCATATTATCTTTATTTTATGGTTTCTTTTGATATATTGTTTACTGTACTGCACACGTTAGTAGCTAAGTTCCTAATTTAACTCATTCATAAAATTACACTGAAATCAGGAACTGTTTTCAAATAGTATTTTGTAAAATTAAGATGCTCTCGATTAATTAAGACACAATCGAACGTGTTGGATCTGTATTAAAAGCAGGTGTAAATGTTGATTTGGCAGAATATACAGTTTGATCTTTCGATTAACAATATTTTAGCGATTGCATAGTTATTATTTAATCAATAGCTAGTCCTAAGATAAAACACTTTATGTGGGGTAAATATCACAAACTCAAAGAACAAGGAAGATAGAAACGTTGTTTCTTAACCAATATTCATAGACTACGGAGGCTTTATTCCAAGGATATGTACTAAAAATAATCTCAACCCCATTAGATTGAATTAAATGTAAAATAATCGTGCATTCAAAAACTAAGCTTGTTAAAGAAATGTAGTCATTAAAATCATATTGCTTTTATCAGGTATTAAATTTAATGCAATCACTTATTGCCCTAATGTGTACATATTATAATTTATTGCCAAGTCTTTGTTTTAGTCAAAATTGCAGTTTTTATACTGATAAATCTAAATATTTGGGTATCTTAAAAAAAAATTTAAGGTAATTAGTGGTGCTACAAATACAATGAGTGCAAAAAATTGGTTGTGTTAGATGCAAAAAACGAAGTTAAGCCCTAATATGTGTATAATTATAATTTATTGCTAAGTCTCTGTTTTAGTCAACATTGCAGTTTTTATACTAATAAATCCAAATATTTGGGCATCTTAAAAAAAAATTTAAGGAAATTAGTGATGGTACTAATACAATGAGTGCAAAAAATTGGTTGTGGTAGATACAAAGAACCAAGTTAAGACACAAGGTATTTGTAACATTATTTATTATCTAAAAATCCTATTTATTTAATTAATTAATTCGTTGTGCATAATTATGATGCAATAAAAAAGTCCTCAAATGTTAATGTTCTTGAAGTGAGACCAAGAGAAGAAAGTTCATGATGGTTTTAAATTTATTTTATGATTACTTTTCCTGCAATTCAGAAAGTTATCTAGGTCTATTTTCTAATCAGCACAAACGGGATATATTTTGATAAAATCAAAAATTTCTCAATATTTGTTTTCATAAAACATTTTGATAAAGACTTATATTGCAGAAAAGTTATGAAATATGATTTTAAATATATTCAATTACCTGTTGTTGGTGTTTGATGTCCACTAAACCCAAAAACAGCGGCCGCCGGAGAAGCAGCTCCTTGATTAGCAGCTGCTGCAGCATTCATTCCGGCTGCTGCAGCAATATTATGAGGTAAAAAAGCTGCTGCGACGGCCGCGTGTGCATTAAAATAGGCCATCCTACTTGCGGCCATCGTCATATGATGATGATTGAAGGTATGTTCCGACGGGAAACACGTCGGCACGTGTCTTTGGGGATTATTATAAACGGCGACATTAGGTGTTATCGCTGAAACGCCGGCCGTCGGTGAACGATGATGTTGACTATCGCCCAAACCCAACAGTTCTTGTATCGCAAACGGCGAACGTTGAGGCATCGTTTGCGATGGTTTATTTAATATGCTTGGGGCTGTTACATGAACTGTACTTTCTAAAGTTTCATTATTGTTCATCTTTATAGAGGGGTTGATTTAAGGAAAATGTTGACAAGAAAAATCGAGACGAAATTTGAAATAACACTTTTGATAAAATTAAAAATAACACTCCACTTTTGAAAATATATACAACTAAGAATGTCTTTTTCAAACTCAAAATTTTAAAAAATCCTTTACTTTTTAAAGTCCACTTTATAAAAATCCATCACAAACGTTTTTTTTAAAGTTTTTACATTTTTTTCTCGTTAAACTTTACCTTTTCATCATTTCAAACTGATTCGAAACCCGATCGAATTAATAAAAAAATGATTACAAATTTCTATTTTTCGAAACTTCAAAGTTCTCCGAAACTTTAAAAGCTCGCTTTATGTGTGTGTTACCCGCTCGGTTCGTGGGTGCCAACTGAACGTACCCACTTCTTGAATTTGAAAAACGCCCCATACAGATAGACTCCCTAATATCGGTCGTTGTATAAAAGAGGGGCCCCCGGATTCGGGGGTGGAGCGCCCCGAACGCCTCCAATCGTCGTTCGAAACGCCAGCTACGGATTGGTGGTTGCAGTTTGCGCGAATCCGGACCAAAATCCGGGTGCGGATTCGGTCGAGAATCGTTTCAAATCCGGGCCTGCGTTGGGTGGAGCTTTCGAAAGCGTTGTTCTCGAGTTTGAAAGCCTTCTGTTCGGTTTGGTTACGGTCGAGAATCGCTTCTTAAAACCATTTTGACAATTAGTGTCAAACGATTTGTTTGCTTAATTGGAAGTGATGTGTTCAATTATTATAATTGGGTGTAATTAATTGGCCGGGACTAATTTATGGCTTGTTTTCGGGAACTGTGGAAGAACTTTTTGGGGGGGGAAATAACTAAATGTGATTGTTGCTTTCAATGTTGATATTAATAATTTTTCTGAGATGATTTCATTTTTAGATATTAAAATATTAATATTTTACTATCTATAAATTTATTCCTTTTTTGTCAAATTTTTATCATTTCCACATTATAAAGATAACTAATTAATTTTTAATAAGATTAATATGATGAATAATATAATATTTATGAAAGAACTTATTACATATTTTGTCAAATAAGGATTTATATTTATAATAGAAATCGATAGGTGGCGCTACTTATTTAAAATAAATTATTTATATAAAAAAAAGTGGCAAAATTTTAAGAACATTAAAAATTCTCAACAAGTTACATCATCATGTTGACACCAAAACGTTTTCTCCTTTTCTGGGACGAAAATGCTGCATTTCTTAAATTGGGGAATCTCTACATTTCGTTTTATGCATTTCTTTGTCACAACGTTCAGAATGATTTAGATCATCGAAATAAATACAATAAAATTTACATTGGGATCTGCTCATAGATATTTTCATTTAGAAGCATGCTCCCGACGGTAATAAGCAATTAATAAATTTGGCAATTTTATCATAATATGTTCTAATCTTCCTGTTTATCACCTGCTTCATTTTTACATAAATGCTTAATGGGGATTTTTTGCCATACAATGTTCTTTTCGTCATTCATCTTCGATCAAAGCTGAATTACAATTAAAACTAGAACTAACATTATCTTTTTTTACTATATATAGTTCTCACTATATATAGTACATACTCAATAATACAAGTAAAATAGAGTCTTTCACCTTTAATTTAAGGTTACAACCATCGCTTAATATACAAGGGTCAAGTCAAATTATAATGATTTCTTGAAATTCTTCCCTTTCTAATATGTTTCAACATAACCTGGAACTATATTTAAGCATATAGACTAGTTCTAGATCCAATACGGTTTAAGATGTCCATAAAAGAGCATAAAACAGTCAGAAGAGTATTATGACAAGTTCCTTGTAATGAAATAGATGAAATCAAATTCACTCCATGATCATCTAACCTAATTCCTGAAGTAATCTGGACCAAGAATTTATTATCAACCAAAGGAAAATCAATAAATCATCAATACTAACCAGAAAATTTAATACAAACGCTTAAAACTTCATCAAAACCTAAAATTATAATCGAGACTTTAGTATCAAAATGGAAAGGAAGTTAGATATCAACCCAAAAATGTTCGTTAATTTCATTTTGACTTAATCAATACTTTATACATTCCCGAAACTGTAGAATTAAATAGAAAAACTTCAATGGAACTTATCGAGATCCATAAAACTTCACTAAAGTACTGACTTTGATGTAAGACAAAAAAGAAGTTCAAAAAACTTGTAAGGAAAGTTCATTAAAAGCAAATTTTTACTAGAACTAGAAACATTCTAATGATTCTAGTTCAAGGTCTAGTGTTAGTTCTACATAGTAATAATGTTATTGTAAAACTAGAACTAACACTAGACCTAGAACTAGAAACATTCGGGTTTAGCCGCACGTCTCTAAAGACGGCTAAACCCGAATGATTCTAGCTCTAGGTCTAGTGTTAGTTCTAGATAGTAACAGTGTTAGTGTAAAACTTGAACTAACACTAAACCTAGAACTAGAATCATTCGGGTTTAGCCGCACGTCTCTAAAGAGGGCTAAACCCGAATGATTCTAGTTCTAGGTCTAGTGTTAGTTCTAGTTTTTGTTCATTGAACAATATACAATAATCTAACGCTGAATAACAACTAAACCTAGAACTATCTCTAGAATTAGAACTAAAATTAGATCTAGAACTAGAAACATTCGGGTTTAGCCATCTTAAGAGATGTAGGGCTAAACCCGAATCTTTCTAGTTCTAGGTTTAGTGTTAGTTCTAGTTTTAGTTCATTGAACAATATACAACAAGTATAGTTAGTTAGTTCTGCATAGTAACAGTGCTAATGTAAAACTAGAAGTCTAAGTGTCTAAGTCTAAGGTCTAGTGTTAGTTCTAGTTTTACATTAGCACTGTTACTAACACTAGATCTAGAACTAGAATCATTCGGGTTTAGCCGTCTTTAGAGACGTGCGGCTAAATCCAAATGATTCTAGTTCCACATCTAGCGTTAGTTCAAGTTTTACACTAACACTGTTACTATCTAGAACTAACACTAGATCTAGAACTAGAATCATTCGGGTTTAGCCGTCTTTAGAGACGTGCGGCTAAACCCAAATGATTCTAGTTCTAGGTCTAGTGTTAGTTCTAGTTTTACATCAACATTATTACTATGTAGAACTAACACTAGACCTAGAACTAGAATAATTCGGGTTTAGCCGTCTTAAAACACACACGGCTAAATCCGAATGTTTCTAGTTCTTGGTCTAGTATTAGTTCTAGAGAAAAAATTAAGAATTTGACCTTTTACTTTATTTTTAATCGGGTTTAGATGAAGTTCTACAAAGTTCCATTTATTAAGTGTGACATCAATGAAGTTTCTTTCGTTAGTATTAAATTTATTGTTAAAATTTGTGCTTTTAATAAAGTTTTATATTCGTATTAAAACTCTATGTTATATGAAGTATTTGATGAAGTTTCGTGATCAACTTCACGGATAAATGAAAGATTCAATTTTTCTTCTTAATTTTTGTCAAGTTTTGATGAAGTTTATTGATTAATATTAAACTTCCTGTTAAAAATTAGTTTTTAATAAACTTTCTTTAGAAGTTTTTTGAATCAACTTTAATCTCTTACATCAAAATCATTAATTCCAAAGTTTCAGGTATATATGAAGTATTGATTCAGTCTAAATGAAATTAATGAAGTATTTGATGAAGTTTCGTGATCAACTTCACGGATAAATCAAAGATTTGATGAAGTTTATTGATTAATATTTAATTTCTTGTTAAAAATTTGCTTTTAATGAACTTTCCTTACAAGTTTTTTGAACTTTTTTTTGTCTTACATCAAAATCAGTATTTTAGTGAAGTTTTAAGGATCTCATTAAGTTCCATTGAAGTTTTTCTATTTAATTCTAAACTTTCGGGTATATATAAAGTATTGATTAAGTCAAAATGAAATTAATCAACATTTTTGGGTTGATATCTAACTTCCTTTTCATTTTGATACTAAAATCTCGATTATAATTTTAGGTTTTGATGAAGTTTTAAGCGTTTGTATTAAATTTTCTGGTGCAGATTACTTCAGGAATTAGGTTAGATGATCATGGAGTGAATTTGATTTCATGGTCTTGTGATAATACTCTTCTGGCTGTTTTATGCTCTTTTATGGACATCTTAAACCGTCTTGGAGCGATTCAACCATATTTAAGGTTCAACACAAGAACTAAAAGATTTCAAAACTTCTTGAAAACTCTATACGCTTAAATATTATACATATTTCCAGGTGATGTTAGATGGTTATATAATATATATAGTATATATTATCAATAACCATATATGAGTATGTAATTTGTAATAGAAACCGTAAGATGGAGTTACAAAAATAAAAAGAATCATATCTTAATCACCACCCATTTCCCAATTTCCACCTTTTTCCCTCATCATCATCATCATCATTCTCCTTTTCCTTCCTCCTGCAAAACCTTCTTTTTTCCATATCGCAATTAATCCCTTAATTATCGCCCGGCTTGGTTATACCTACTCCGGGCGGAGAGGAAAAGAAAAAAAAATCGTCGTTGCATATCGGGGAAAGACGTGAAATTACGGGGCGCGTTTTTAAGGGGGTTGAGCGTAGAAGTGGTGTCGCGATGCCGCGAATGAAAACCGAGAAACGACGACCGACCATCTTTGCGGTTTTTCTCGCGCTTATGGTTTTTTTTAGGGGGCCGAACACCTTTCAATCGGCCGCAAATCGAAAACAAAGCAAAGGGTTGGGTTTCATTTGAAAAAACATTTTTTTCTTGTTTGTCCAATAAAAATGGGAATTATGAAAGGATTAGTTAAACTTAAATAAACTCAAAAAGAGAATTATTTTCCAAAATCCAACATAATGTAAAATAAATGATAAATTTCTTCTATCTGTGGGGTTTTAGTTCCCATTAATAAGATAGGGGTGAAATTTTAAAGTGTCAGTCAAAATTTTTAAATAGAGATTTGTATCTACTTTGTCATAGTGTTTACAAATATGTACTGAGTATATGTTAACTAAGAAACGATTTTTATATCAAATTAAAAAGCCTCTTCAGCTCATATTAGTCCAATACTATGTTTGGCCATCGCAAATGATATACCTTCTACTGATTTTGGCCCCAAAAACGTTTTAGCGCTACCCTCTCGTACTAGCTCATCTGCCGCTTCATTGCCAACTCTGCTATCATAACTCAGTGTATTTAAAGTTCTTTTAGTCATTAACTTAGCCTGGAGAGTGGCTTGACTGTCTGAGAAAATTCGCACTGTCATGTTCTTCACCCCTCTCTTAAGAAAGATTTTAGCATCCATGTTAATACCAAATATGCTCACTTTCATATGAAATCCACCACCCAGAAAAAACTCAACTGTTATGTTTCCTTATCTCC